TAGCTATTGACATTGATTCCTTTGCTAGAAGACCCAGAAAACCGAGGTTTGAGACACGAGAGGAAGTCAACCAGCGTATGCTGTCTGTTGAAAGGGCTGTCAGGGAAGCTCTTAGTGCAAAAGGGGAGAGGGCATTTACTGATCAAGAGTTCCCTCCAGATGATCGATCTTTATACGTGGATCCAGGGAACCCTCCTCTAAAATTGCAGGTACTGTTCATGCATATATGTGCTCTTGTGCACTAAATATTGTTCAAGTCTTTACAATTGATTTTTGTATGAGTTCAGGTTGTTTCTGAGTGGACGAGGCCTTCTGACATAGCAAAGGAGATATCTATTAATTCTCAGCCATGCTTGTTTTCTGGTTCTGTGAATTCCTCGGACGTATGCCAGGTATATAGTGTTTGGTTTGTGCCGCTCTGGTATTTTTCCCTACAGTAGATTTTTTTTAGCAAGATTAAATCATGTTTTGATAGTACTAACGAATTTCCCTAACTGTTCTTTTCAGGGTCGGTTGGGAGACTGCTGGTTCCTGAGTGCAGTTGCAGTTTTAACTGAGATGTCTCGTATATCTGAAGTTATAATCACTCCAGCATACAATGAAGAAGGGATTTACACTATCCGATTCTGCATTCAGGTATTTGATACTCTGAACCTATCTCTGATACCATGTGAGGAAATATTCAGCTTCTATTTCCATGAGGCCATAGACCGGTATATATACGCGTACATGTGAAGTAAATAGACGGGGATATTACACCACTCAGATTATTGGCGTTTCTCCTGAACCTAGAGATGTTAGCAGAAGTCCCATATTATATTTGATGCCTCTTTGTTATCATATACTCCAACAAACTAACACCCTGACAAGCAGCTGTCCCAATTTACATATAGTACATTATGCACGTATTGCAGTAAAAAAGATACCAAAATTATTCATTAGTGCAGTTTTATCAATTTAGCACATGCCTGCAGTCCTGCACAGTTCTGTTCCCCCATTTAATTGAGTAGATTATGCCTACATGTATTATAGATCAATTCATTAGTGATCACACAATTTCCTGATCAAACTCAACAGTACCCAAGAGAACGAACTAGTGCACACAGAGATTTGTCTAGGGTGCATCATAGTTTCTCTAGGGTTTATGCATTATTTTCCACCAATAATCTAATTCATTTTATGAACTAGAGCATATGCATTATCTTCAGCTAACTTGACTCTTTCTTCATCACGCTTTTCCACTAGGGTGAGTGGGTGGCTGTGGTCGTCGATGATTGGATTCCCTGCGAGTCTCCTGGAAAACCAGCATTTGCTACGAGTAGGAAACAAAATGAGCTATGGGTATCCATTCTTGAGAAAGCTTATGCAAAACTTCATGGCTCTTATGAGGCGCTAGAAGGCGGGCTTGTGCAAGATGCTCTAGTTGACCTCACAGGAGGAGCTGGCGAGGAGATTGATATGCGGAGTCCCCAAGCACAGATCGATCTTGCTAGTGGAAGATTGTGGTCTCAGCTGTTACATTTTAATCAAGAAGGTTTTCTTCTTGGTGCTGGAAGTCCCTCTGGCTCTGATGCTCATATTTCATCAAGCGGCATTGTTCAGGGACATGCTTACTCCATTTTGCAGGTTTGCTCTCATTTGTTTGTTCCAGCTTTTGGCAGTCTCCATTCTACGTTGATACATTTATACTGTATTTTCAGATAAGAGAAGTTGATGGCCACAAGCTTGTCCAAATTAGAAATCCTTGGGCAAATGAAGTTGAATGGAATGGGCCATGGTCAGACTCGTCACAAGAGTGGACTGAACGAATAAAGCATAAGCTCAAGCATGTTCCACAGGTACTAATCTTTTCCCGGCTATAATTTTGAGTGAGTAGATTGTACTCCATTAGCTTTCATCAGAAAGGATTAACATTGATTTTTTTGTATTACCAGAACAAACAATATATTTTTATTATGAAAAAACTGTTCCACACAGTTTTTACCATCTCAATGTGTAAGCAATCAAGTAAACAGAGTGCAGCTTATTTTTAAATACTGTGAAAATAAAAAGCATCTTATTATCAATACTTCAATAGCCACCCCTGCAATTTTTGGTTATAAATTGTCTCTTTCGAAAAAAACAGGCACCTGCATTTGAATTTACAACTCTCACCACTCACCACAGTATCTTATTGTCTATTATTGTTGGTGCAGTCAAAGAATGGTGTATTCTGGATGTCTTGGCAAGATTTTCAGATCCACTTCCGATCAATATATGTTTGTCGTGTTTATCCACCTGAGATGCGCTATTCTGTCCATGGGCAATGGCGTGGCTACAGTGCAGGTGGTTGCCAAGATTATGACTCGTGGCATCAAAATCCTCAGTACCGACTTAGGGTAACAGGACGTGATGCACTGTATCCTGTCCATGTGTTTATTACCCTTACACAGGTATGTGCCATCTGCATGTGTTAATATAAGACTTGAAGAAAGCACTTTGATGCTGATTTTGACACGGACTTCTGCTTGTCAGGGTGTTGGTTTCTCTAGAAAGACAAATGGTTTCAGGAATTACCAATCTAGTCATGATTCTTCCATGTTTTATATTGGAATGAGGATACTCAAGACAAGGGGCTGCCGTGCTGCTTACAATATCTACATGCATGAATCTGTTGGCGGGACAGATTATGTAAACTCAAGGGAGATATCGTGTGAATTGGTCTTGGAACCTTATCCGAAAGGATACACAATTGTGCCAACAACTATCCACCCAGGGGAGGAAGCACCTTTTGTTTTGTCAGTTTTTACAAAAGCACCAATCAAACTAGAAGCTGTTTAGGGCAAGATTGAGACTCCATGCGGTTGCTACTGGTCGCTGTGCCTCACAGCTGCTGGCCCAGGTTCTTTGAGGCCGAGTGACAGGCCCAGCTGTGGGTTCAAGAAGACCAGGAAATGGGTAAGCGCTTGATCCTTGCAGTTGTCTATGTTCCGACTTTGCCCTACTTCCGTCGGCAGTATGGTCTAATGCTGCAGTGTGCTCCAAACTATAAACAACCTATCTGGTGTGCTGCTGCATTAATTTAGATAAAAAGATGGAGTTCAGACAACTGACGGACCTTATAACCATTTCAGGGTATTTGCTAAGAGCGGTACGCCTATAGCTGGGATTTATGATGCAGAGCTCTGCACTTGGACCTGAATATGCTGGAATCCATCAGGGCGCTCTACCTGCAAGCTGATGAGAGAAGGCAATGTTTTTGCTAGCAAAGAAAGAGAAGGTAACGTTTCCAGTCAGCAGGTTGCATGGCGTGAATTGATCGGTGCATGTGCTGGATGAAAAGAATCGTGGCGTTTTGTGTCCATGCTTGTAGATAGTGGTGGCAGCTGACATTTAGACCTAGTAGCCCAATCCTGTGTATACCTGTCCGTGTTACCCCTGTACATACTATAGAGTTAGATGAGTTTAACCTTGCGCGTGTCGTTCTTAAGCGCATATCGCTCTTGTGCAGCTTGGAAATGCCGTTCTAGCAAGCTGCAGTTTTGCTGATCCATAACCTGAGGGTAGTCTGGCCATAGTTGTTTTCATTGATTGCCTGTATGTAATCGAAATCTGATCTCATTGAAAGGAAGCGATTTTTTGGTATATGATGTGAAGCCTTTGTTCCTGTGCTCGTCATTCACCCAGTGTTGCAATGACTAAAAGGGATCTGCTTTCCCCCTACGAAACAATGACTAAAGGGATTCTGCTTTCCCCCTACGAAAATGGATTCGGACTCGAGCAGTATTACTGCACTATTTTAGACTTCATAACTTATCACGGGAGGTTCGACGGTGTGGATCATGCGCAGCTGGGCAGAGCACGCACGCAGTCTTGAACTCAAAACTCTTTGAAGTGCTCCTCGTCTTTACGCCAATTCGGCAGTGACCGGCATGCAATAATCCGGCGCCGTAGAGGTGGGTGCTTCTGGGGGACCGCCACCTGAGTCAGTGACCATAGCCTGAGCTGCGTATACGTGCGGGAAGCAAATCGTCCGCAGTAGGTACGTACATCTACGGGATACGGGGTGAGCCCTGGGTTATACCTGGCCATGGGAAGCCCGGCCCGAAAAGGCCCGACCCGGCCCGACCCGACGCTGTCCCTGGGCCTAGATTTTGAGCCTGAAGGCCGGGCCGGGCCAGGCCTGGACCAGTCATTTTTGCGCTTTCCTGAAGGTCGGGCCGACCCGACCCGAAGCCCGACGGGCTTTTAGATGTTCAGGCCGGGCTCAGGCCCAAAAACAGGCCCGTTGGTCGGGCCGGGCCCGGGCCTGGGATTATTGCGTCGGGCTTGGCTAGGCCCGGCCCAAAGCCCGGCCCGACCCGAGGTATGGCCAGGTATACCCTGGGTGTCCGAAGCGATAAACAAATTTTTGTACAAATAGAACCGATAAACATTTCCATTGTTCAGGTCACAACCGTTGTGCCCTTCAATAAGCTGCACGATTGTAGGCAGCAGCGATGATTATCAGGCCAGAAAGGAAAAAGGTGCCAAGGAGAACTTTTACTGACGCCGAGCCCCGGTATCACGTCACCTATCGGTGTCAACCATGGAACGTCGGCACATGTACGCGCACGCCCTGTGGCCTGTGTGCTGTGCCCTCTCACATCCGCCGCTCCGAGACACCTGCGCGACGCCCGTACGTGCCCTGCCTGCCCGTTCGGTTGCCCGGCCGGCCGGTCGGTCCGTCAGGCGGCCGTGTTAATCGCATCGCACCGCACCTCACCGGTCATTCCCTCTCGTCCTCTCGTGCTGGTATTTACGCCGCGCCGGGCAGGGTGTTCCCCGCGCGAGCCGCTTTGCGAAAAGCGTACCGCCACCACCCCTGCCAAGTGCTAACCACCTTAAAGCAGGCGGCTTTGCCACTAAAACCCCGTCAAATACTCCACCCAGCGGCCGCGAATCATTAGCATCGCGCACGCACGGACGGGCGCAGCAAAGAAAGGCAGAGAGAGTGCGCGAGCTTGCCGGCGCTGGCCATCATGGCGAGAGCCTTTCGCGCGGCATCCCCGCTGCCCCTCCCCTCTTCCAGCTCCAGGAGCGCCACCGCACCGAGCGGCGGCGGTGGCAGCGGGAGCTTCACTTGGCTGCTCAAGAAGCGCTCCAGCAAGGCGCCGCAGCGCAGCGGGCCGAGCGGCCAAGAGGCGGAGGACGAGGGAGACGAGGAGGAGGCTGGAGCAGCCGCTCTGTCCTCCGCGCACTCGTCTTCCACCGGCGAGCAGTCCTCCTCTTCCTCCTCGTCGTCGAGGAAGAAGCGCGCGGACGCGCTGGCGCGTCTGCGGTCGGTGTTCCTGGCGGCGATCACGCACCGGCGCCGGCGCCGGCAGCTCGGGTCGTGCGTCACGGGCACCATCTTCGGGCGCCGGCGCGGGCGCGTGCACGTGGCGCTGCAGACGGACCCGCGATCGGCGCCGGTGCTGCTGGTGGAGATGGCCGCCTACTCCACCGGCGCGCTCGTCAGGGAGATGTCCTCGGGCCTCGTGCGCCTCGCGCTCGAGTGCGAGAAGCCGCCGCTCAACGCAGGTACGTCCGCCACCTGTACAATCACAGCTCAAGCGCCAAGGCCACACAGATTAACCCGCAAGCACGTGCAGGGGAGAAGCGGCGGCCGCTGCTGGAGGAGCCGACGTGGCGCGCGTACTGCAACGGGCTCAAGTGCGGCTACGCGGTGCACCGCGAGTGCGGCGCCGACGAGTGGCGCGTGCTGGGCGCCGTGGAGCAGGTGTCCGTCGGCGCCGGCGTGCTCCCGGACGACGGTGCCGCCGGGGCCGCAGGCGGCGCCGGCGAGGGCGATCTGATGTACATGCGCGCCAAGTTCGAGCGGGTCGTCGGATCGAGGGACTCGGAGGCGTTCTACATGATGAACCCCGACGGCAGCGGAGGACCCGAGCTCAGCATCTACCTGCTCAGAGTCTGACGGCCGATCGAGCAAACAATTCTTCCTGTATGGACTTTGTACACGTCCTTGTGCATGCATATTTTTTTTTCCTTTCTTTCTCTTGGGTTCCATGTATTCTGTTGCAGGACTTAATTGGCTGGCCTTGTACAGTATGTAGTACATACAATAGTATCATTGCTCACTCTAGTGCTTAATCAAAATTAATGTTAATATTTCCTCCATTTTAACATGCAGTGCACATTAGAGCAAAGGTTAACCAAATTTATAGAACAAAATATAATCATCTACAGAACCAAATCAATATTATTAGACTTCTCATGAAATATATTTTCATGGTATTGTGGACGCAATCCCATCCATTCGATCAACTCCTTCCGCACGTAAATTGTGTGCCCATAGTTTTGTACTCTTAAAATACAGAGGATAAAATACAGAAAATTCAGGCAAGCTCTCACCACAGAAAATTCAGGCAAGCTCTCACCACAACCAGGGTGAAAAGTAAACACACACGCGCGCGCGTGCGCACACACACAATACAACCCCAACGCATGAGGTTCTGTCCTAAATTGACCAACAAAGCCGCGTCTTGATCAACACTGCATGGACTTTGTACACGTCCTTGTACATGTCCTGGTCAACTCGAAAGCGCGATACCTCCAAACGAACAATCCTTGCCGACGCACCAACTACGCTTGAGTGGGTGATAGGACTCAGATAACCCTGGAAATGTCATGGTCTTGGACTCATCCATGACGACGTACATAGCTCACCTGAAGAACAATCCAGAACAACGGTAAGCACCAACAAAGGAACAATGTCGAGTGCGTCGCCATTACCGATTTGGAACCGAACCTAGACTTTCGCCCCGAGACAACCAACCAAGTGAGAGCGAGCGAGGTGCCAACATACCACAATGACGCCTCCAAGAAGGGGAACAATGCCCACATGCGCCATCGCCGCTGGCACCGACCGAAGACGGGCATGACTTTCATCCGAATCATCACCATTCCTGCCCATCGGAATGGGGCACACCACCCATGTTGGTTCGTTCCGCCGTCGCGGCAACACCACAACGATGAAGCTGCATCGTCTCGCCCCACCAACACCACCATGCCGAGCTACCACCACTTCCGCTTGCACCACCGTGGTGCCAAGGAGCAGTCGAGGCCTAACTTCACCATGCTTTCAAGTTGCAAGTATCCACGGACCAAGCCCACCAACCAGATCCAGATCAAGATCCGCCGGAACTTCGCCGCACCTCGCCGCCAAGCACTCCACCGAAAGGG